GGGGGGGGGGGGATCGCAAATGGCCGCGCACGGGGCGGCGAGGAGAGGCCGGCGTTGAGGGAGGGGGGCCGCGTCGCGAGGTGGTCCCGCCGCCTGCACCGCGCCGCCTGCCGCCTCCCCCGCCGCGATCCGCCGTGCTGCTTGGAGCCCGGCGCCCTGCTGCTCCCCGAGCCGCGCAGGATCTCTCCTCTCCCTCCGGTAGCGCACGACCGCGGGGGGGGGAATTTTAAAAAAATTTTATTTTATTTATTTTTTATTCTTTTTTTCCCCCGTGGAGTGACCCAGATTTCTATCCGTTAAAGTTCTGAAACACGCTCGCCTATTGATTCTGTAGGAAGTTTTGAGGTTTGCTGCTGCGAAGGGTCGCTTAAGCCAGCGCCACAGCGCTCCCGCAGCGCCGGGCCTGTGTCGGAGCGGCCCCGCACCGTGCCGCTGCCAGCGGGGGCTGCGGGACTCTGCCATCCCGGTGCTGGCCCTCCCTGAGCCCCCGGGGTTCCGAAGTGGCGGTCACTGGCGGCCGCCATTGATTTCTGTAGGAATTAGGCTTGCTCAGCACTTACCGTGAGGGGTAAGTGATGATCTAGAAGTGACTTTGTGTGAAAGCGAGCACTTCTGGCTGGAGATTTTCGACTATAGGAATGGGATTGGGTCCACAGGATGATGTTCTCACAGCGTTTGTGCCCGACAGGAATGCAGGCGTAGGGCCGTAGCCTTAAGGAAGGGCAAAGTAGTATTCGAGCCTTTTCCTTGAAGGTTTTTTTGTTTGTTTGTTTTATTCTTGTTTTTACAGCGTTGCTTAAAAAATAATAGTTCTTAAGCAGTGCTAAATGAGGCGGTTAAGCACGGTGTTAAACACTGCAAAACTAGTGCATTTTGAAAGGGGGAAAAAGATCTTTATGTAATACTGATATTATAAGTATTGGCACTCGACTTTTTACAGTTCTGACAAGATGATGAGCCTGTTCTTCAAAATGTTGCTGCTACCTATACGTGATTTTCAGAATAACAGAATTCTTCCAGAATAATGCGTGCGTGACCACTCAGAAAGCAGCCATGCTTAGGGAGGGTGCCACGCTGGGTGGGAGGCTTTGTGGGGCTGCTTCTTAGAAGGAGGTTCACTTTCCTTTATTCATTCCTTTTGCTGCTTACCGTGGAGGTTGGTGGCATTGCAGACCCTACAGCCCTTTATCATCCCCTCCTTCTGTGCAGTAACTTCTGTGGGGCTTCTCTCCTCATCCAGCTTGTCCTTCCATATCCCGCAGTGGGGCTTTGAAAGCTTGGCTCCCAGCCCCATAGAACTGCAGCTTTCCTTTAAAGCATCCCTTACAGCACTGGAAAATCAAGAGAAACCTTTGCAGAGCACCAGCCCCTGCTGCTTTGCTGTTCCTGTAGCACGGCAGCATGAGGTCTTTGGTGGTGCTGCAGGGTTGGGCTGGCACTGTCCAGCATAAGCATTCAGGCAAGAATTTGGGTCTTTTTTGATGGCTGGTCATCTCTGTCAGAGCCTGTTGGACTGTCTTATCTGTGAGATCTTTTCCCATGGCATGGTTGAGAAGAGATTGATGGTTTGGGAAGCGGGGCTGGCAAGCGGACAGACAGGGATAGACAGAGTGAGCGGATATGCCTTGTTTCCTTAGGAAATTAGGAAATTTCCTTAGAAAATTGCACTGTCCTGCCATTTATTGATTTCACTTTTTCTGTGTGTGTCTATGTCTTTACTAGTTATGGAGACAAAAGGATACCACAGCTACCCTGAAGGCATAGATATGGAGAGACGGTGGGGTCAAGTTCCTCAGTCTGTGGAGTATTCTTCCCTAGGTCCTGGAGAGCAGGCTGATGCCAGTAACTATATGGAGATTGTGAACGTGAGCTGTGCTGCTGGCACCTTTGCAAACAGCAGCGCTCCAGGAAACAAGGAAAAACCTGAACTTCTCCCCTGCCTGCAGCAGGACAGCAGCCATCCCACTGTTCTGCCCTCTGACATCAAAACTGAAACAGAGTCCAAGGAACTGTCAGCGACGGTGGCCGAATCCATGGGTTTGTATATGGATTCGATCCGAGACGCCGACTACCCATATGACCAGCAGAACCAGGGGAGCCCGGGTAAGATCTACCAGAACGTGGAGCAGCTGGTGAAGCTCTACAAGGAGAACGGCCACTGTTCCTCTCCCCTGCACAGCCCCAGCAGGCCCCTGCGGTCCCTGATGGCGGACTCGGGAAGCGCCATGAATGGCGGTGCCATGCATGCTGTTGTCAAAAGCCCCATCGTGTGTCAAGAGAAAAGTCCCTCAGGCTGCAGTCCTCAGAACATGGCTTCCTCAGTGTGTAGTCCTGCTGGTGTTAACTCAGTGTCCTCAACTACTGCTAACTTTGGGAACTTTGCTATGCACAGCCCCATCGGGCAGGGAACTCCCTTGTCACGGTCACCCAACGTTGAGAACCGGGGGTCCATGTTGCACAGCCCCGCTCATGTTAGCAACGTAGGGTCTCCACTTTCTAGCCCTATAAGTAGCATGAAATCACCAATTTCTAGCCCTCCCAGTCACTGCAGCGTGAAATCTCCCGTCTCCAGTCCTAACAATATCACTATGCGGTCTTCTGTGTCCAGCCCTGCAAACCTGAACTCGAGAAGCTCTATTGCCAGCCCTTCCAATGCCAACAACAGGTCCACTCGCTCCAGCCCAGCGGTTAGCACTGTGGGGGGATCTTCGATCTGTAGCCCCGTCAACAGCTCTCTAGGATTCCCTGCTTCCAGCACGCCGGCTGGACCTAGCAGAAGCCAAGATACTGTTCCCAGTCCAGAAACAAAAGACAAGGGTGCTCAAGAAATCCCGTTTCCCAAAATGGAGGAAATGGAGAATGCCATCTCAAACAACAGCCAGATGAACCTCGTTCAGTTCATCAAGCCCGAACCAGACGGTTCATTCGGTAGCGCGTGCATTGGTGAAAACAGTAAAATAAGTTCTGATTGCCCCTTTTCGGTACCGGTGAAGCAAGAGTCAGCTAAACATCCTTGTTCCGGTGCCTCTTTTAAAGGGAATCAAACAGTAAATCCTTTTCCATTTACAGATGGCTCATATTTTTCTTTCATGGATGACAAAGACTACTACTCTCTTTCTGGGATTTTAGGACCACCTGTTTCTTCCTTTGATAGCAGTTGTGAAGGTAGCGGTTTTCCAAATCCAGGCCTCCCTGTGGGGATTAAGCAGGAGCCTGACGATGGCAGCTATTACCAAGACAGTAGCATACCATCCTCTGCCATTGTTGGTGTAAATTCAGGTGGACAGTCATTTCACTACAGGATCGGTGCCCAGGGCACGATATCTCTGTCACGGCCCGTTGCTAGAGAGCAAGCATTTCAGCACTTGAGCTCCTTCCCTCCCGTCAGCACGCTAGTGGAGACCTGGAAATCGCATTCAGAGCTGGCGTCCAGAAGAAGTGATGGGTATCCAGTTCTAGAGTACATTCCAGAAAACGTGTCCAGGTAAGTGAGCAAACTGCTACTTTTTTTCCCCTCCCTTTTCCACGAGATGTGGGTTAAAATGAGGTCTGGGGTGGTATTTCTCAAGTTGATGTGTAATTCTGTGCTTGCATTTCAGTTTTTGCTGTTAGATTTGCTGGTTGTTTGCTGTAGTTTGCTATGGATTTAATAAAACCAAGTGCTTGCTTTAATATTTAAAAAGAGCATATTATATTCTATTGGTATTAGATTTGAAAGTGTCGCTTTATTATGTTCGTGAGCTCTTACTACTACAAACGTTGTCTTTCCCTTAATGAAAGGTTAGTAAAATTGCTCTTGTGTGTCCGATAAAGGGTATTCTTCCTTAGCTGGTGCTCAAATGTGTTGTAACTCAGGTGAAATGTTGAGGTGAGGATAAGGCGGTAATGTCAGGAATCCATTTCTGTAGAGATGCGTGGCTCTAATTTTGCACTGGGCTACAACTGGTTAAATTTGAAAACTAAACCTTACAAGCCTGTGGCAACATATTATTTCTGTATTGTAACTGTAGGAACATTTGGTTTGTATATATAGAAAAATGCCTCCAGAAGGAGGAGGGCTGTTAAAACTTGACGCATTTGAAAGGGAAAAATGGATGAACTGATCTCCTAACTTTTGGTGAGAGAAATATGCAAGTGTCCTAAGCGTCTGTATTGGCCAGTCCATGGAAGTGCATGCTTCTTCCACAAACAGGTGTTCGTGTGTTTTATGAAGGACGCTTACTTACATAAGCTGTCCAGTTACATAGTCAGTTTTACAAATTATTAAATGCATCTGGCAATGTGACTGAGTTAGAGTAGCTACAAAGCCTCCTCATCTGTCAAACTGGCTGACCCCAGGTTTATGCTATCAGCAAAATAGCTGATAACAGAATTTGCATTTACCTGTCTAAAGCTGCTCTTTTCCTCATCAAAAGATGCACAGCTTCTACCGTATCCTTGGATTGGAGTGAAGAAAATGTGTACTTTTCTCAATGCTTGTATGACTCAAAATATTTCTGGAAAACAGTGGTCTTCCAATGAAAGACATAATGGCTAAACTAACTGTGCTTTTGAGAAAGGAAGACAATCTGTGGACCTAGAGTTTGGGGGGGGGGGGGGAGGGAGGAAACACTAAATACTTGCATTTTATTCTCAGACCCGTCCAGTACCTCTGCAGTCTATTTGAATATTTGGAACTCCGTACTTGACTTTTTCTTTGTCTATTTCAAATATTGTTTGTAGAGAGCGCACTTTTTTTTTTTTTTTTAATACATCTTGCTCATATTGAAAAGTCTGTACCCCACCTTCTTGCTGAACTTTGCACATAGCTGTATGTTTGTCATCATCTGTGCTTGGATCAAATGTACTTCCTGGATCAAAGGAGATGAAGTTACTGTCTCCTAGTTATTTTGCCAGATGAATGTTCATAAAATGCATTGTTTACACATCGGGAAAAGTTCACCAGAAGAGTGATAGGCTGTCTGCAAACAAAGACCCAATACTTACTTTCCTTTGTGTTTGAGCACTGTTACTTGGGAGCCGGCTCCTGCGGCCCGTAAGAGCTCTTGTGAGAGTAAGTGCTGCTCACATTGAGTCAAGGCTGTCATTTGCTGCAGGATGTGATCCGCTGAGCAGTAAACAGGGAAATGCTGTTCAGGAGCGTGGTCATCCATAGTTATGTTTTTAGGACAGTTTTGCTTAAGGCTTTTGAGGGAGTATCTTCTGATCTGACGTTATTCCGTGGTAGCTCTTCTTACCTGTGCCTCTAGACCCATAAATGAATCATCTGTCATCAGGGGTGATGTGACTGTGCTTTCCTTTGTTTTCTAAGCTGATATCTTAGTAAGGTATGTATCTGAGTGTAGCTGTTGCTTTGCATGATTGAAATTCTGACGCTTTTACCTCTCAGAGCAATTATGCACGTGCGAAATTCTGTTTAGGTGGTAGAGATCTGCAAGGTTGCAACACTTCAGACATCCTGATCTGTGTTTCAGATTAGGACACATGTCATCATTTCAAATCTCTATCTCAGCCTCATTATTTAACTAAATGTTACTGTTAATCTGTCTGGCAATGACTTTGTGCTAACAGATGCAGCAGGGGACCTGTGCGAAGGCCTTTCAAGTTTCAAAATAAATTAATGTAGAGGTCATCTTAGCAGTACAGATTTGAATGCATAGATGCCCATACAGATATTTGTCTACTGATGAGACAAATCAAAGACTTGTAAAAGCTCACTCTTCCTAATGAGCCTCAAATCCATCTTCACCTTTATCCTCGATTCCTGTGCCACGTTCCAGCTAAAGCAGAGAAAATAATGATTATATTTGTTCATCTTCCAAAGCACTGTAATAAAACATAGTTTAAAGCCATGTCCCAAAGGGTATTCCATTTTTCCTATGTCAAGAGGGTGTTGGAATGACAAAATCTCTCCTCCTTCATGTTGTTAAAACGTGATTAACCCTTCATAGCTTGTGGTACAAAGTTCCTGGTGTTTTAAGTCTTCCATTTTGTCTTTATTTTTCCTGAAGTATATTTATTTTGCATTATAAGCTGCCATAAGAAAAGACTAAAATGAAGGTAAGAAAGAGGCTACATGATTCTTTGAAGTTGGTAGATAATCTGCATTGAGTGGATCTTGTTTTGACAGCATTATGATCTGAACTTCAATACTGTACCCTCTTTGATATGCTGCTTACATTGTGGAAAGGACTGGGTGACCAGGAGCGAAGGCGGCTTTTCACATTGAGAATGTTTAGAATGTTCTTAGAAGTGATTTTCTTTTCCTATTAAAATACCACCTTTTATTAAATTGGTGCTTTCTTGAGTCAGTTACAATTGCTGGCAGTATCAAATAAGCATAGGTTAGGCATGTGAAATACTTTGCTGTCTTATTGACCAAGTGCCCACTGTCAACTGCAACATTCTCTTTTTTAGTTATTTTTATTTGATAATGGGCAGTTACGGTTATCTTTAAAGTGGATGGTGGGAACTTTGTTTCCAAGATTACAATCTGCAGGATTTGAGGAAGGCGAGCTTCTTAAGTGAAAAAACATGTTTGCCTATTTCCTTTGAAATGCTGTTTCTGTTAATATGCATGCAGAACATACCTTTGAAAGATTGAGCATGCATTATTTTTAATAGAGGGTGAATCATGCGTGTGCGTCTGTGTGTAGACCTCCCCCCCTTCAATGAATGACATTGCTAAGAAATAGCAGATTTTAAACAAATAATAGCAAAGTGGGCTTGGAAAATAAGGTATGTGAGGTGGAGTGATGTCATCGACGGAAATCTGCTTTAAGGTGATTGCTCATCTGAATCGGGGTATGAGCCTAAGACTCATGATCGTGCCAATTATGTAATTTTCAAAATGGCCTAGGAAAATGTCAGGGTTGCTTGAAACAACAGTAAAAATTGAGGAGGATGACCTTTCTGCTGTGTTAGCTCTTACCTAAAGCTTTTTCTGCAAATGCGCCTTTTCCTTCTAATTTCCATGTTAACTCTTGTACGTACATGTGCATACTCGCTGTTCTCAGCAGTTGTGGTGGAAACAAAGGGCTGATGTGCCTACTGTGCATTCTTCCAAACAGTTGCAATTGGATAGTTTTCAAATTTGGCTAAAAGTCAGACTATTTGGTTCCATTACCCGGTAGCACTTCCTTGCGTTGCCTTGCCAAGTGTTTCCCCCAAAGCTGCTTTCTTCCCAGGCTGGGAACAGGTGCAAAGTTGCTCCCAAAGGAAGAGAAGACCCCTGGGGATGGCACATCTCCATGCCATAGAGGTCTGGGGTAAAGATCCATGTGCAGACTTTTTCCCTGTGTGGATGATGATGAATAGATGCAGGTGTTGCTTGCTGTGACAGGTGACAGAAAAAAAGGACTCAGATGCAGTTCTAGTTTCCCATGATTCGGCAGCAGTTTTGCTCAAAACTTTTCCAAACTTTCAGATTGTATTTTTTTTTTTTCTTTCCCCAGTGACTGTAAGGAGTGTTGTACCAACTGCTGAGCTGGTGTGTGGTTTGCTTGTGCATCTATTATTTTTAATGTTAAAAAAATCTCCTTTTCCCCCTTGATTTTGATTTAGAAACTAAACAATACCCTCAAACCTGTTTTTCTATGATGACGATGCGTAACTGCATGTCTTAGATTGTAAACACATCAAAGAGTTGGATTGAATGTACAAATTTAAGCATGTGAATATCTGTTCTTTTGGAGAGTGGGTAGCCTTAAAGGAATTTAAGGTACAAAAGGTTCCTAAATAGTTCTTTCTGTTTGCTAGTGTATGGTGGTGAGTTGTGAAGCGGTATCATTTCAGCAAAGTTTCCCTGGCTGTGTGGGATGAATTCACAAAGTTACAACATGTTGCTATCATTAAATAAGTTTACTATTACAATGAAAGTTATTTCTACCTACTGGTAATTACATTTTAATTGTTTACTGGCTGAGGAAATTCCAAAACATTTCATCATCATGTTTTAGAGTCTAATGTAGGTATGCTAAAATTGCTTGAAAGGCGCTCATTCACTTCTTAGGTTTTATGGTCAAGTCAACAGTGTTTAGGGACTTCTGATACCTGTCTGTTCCCGAGCAATTTGCATAAATCAGGACATTGCTTTGATGTGCAGCCCAGAACCTGCAGGCTGAACTGGGTGGTAGATCCCAGCTTCCCGGAGCACCGGGTGCATGAAGGTTGTCCCTGTCCGTCCTTCTGACCCTGCTCATAGCAGTCCCCCCTCTCCAAAAAATGCTGATAACAACAACAACATGGGCTTCATTTATGGGTAACCCTCCCTGAAGTGAATGGGTGATCTGGTTTAAAATATGATTTCAGGCTATTGCAATTATTTTCTGTCAATAACGTTGTGTTAAAAATTATCTAGAATCGTTGCTTATCTGAATGATACCTGCCAGGGAGATAAAGGTCTGGTAAATATTATTTTTAGAATTTATGATTGACCTTCACCTCTGTTTGTTTTTTTATGGACTTCATATGAAGAAGGCCAAGTTGTTTAAAATATTCTCTGTGCTTTGGTGGGATTGTTTTCCCCATTAGTTTCCCATAAGTTCACTGTTGAAAAGGTTGGACAGCAATTCTTATGTTGTACACTATAGCCTTAAATTTGTACTTTTTTTTTCTCAATTTGGAAATTAATATGTGAAATTACATGTGAAACTACAAAAAACAAGTGTACTTTTTAATGTTTCTGGATATCATCTTGATCTGTAACAGGAACCTCAAGGTGTGTTTTTATTTCTCACTTTGAAGATTATCAGCCTGCATTAATGCATGGAGCTAGAAGGTCCAAAGGTTTTCCTTGGCATACCAGCATGCATTTCACAGCCTTGTACTTCTTAGTTTTGCTTAATGTTGTTTTGTTGAGGGTGCTCTGTTTTGTTCTGCTAATTTGATTGGGGTATTGAAAATCTCTATAAACAAAAAGGTTCCTACTGATGCTTAATTTTTTTTCCTTTAAATTACACGTGAAAATTGACTCCTATGAGACAGAGGTCCTCCTTGCTGGAAAACGCATTCCATGAACAAGTGGAGCTTTGAAATCTGTGGAAATAGAGCTCCTTTCTCAATCCCTGTACCTGTATCTGGGGATTGTTTTTTTTCTTTGTGTGGAAGCGTAAGTCATATTGTGTGGCACTGAAGCATTTATGCGGCCAGTTGATATTGTTAAACTGTATGAAATTTGGCTGTTACAAATTGGCTTGCCATAGTTTATTTTGATAATAGCCAGTAACTGTTTCCTAGCTTTTATATCATGTGGTGATACAGAATCTCACTGTGATACCTTTGTCTGACTGTTCTCTGGAATAGGGAAGTCAGGCTCATCTTAGTGCAAGGATTTTAAAATAAGCAGAAGAAATTTTGATTATCCATATTTTGACAGTATGGATTCATTCCCCTTAATGAGGACAGGAAGACACTGATGTCTGAAATATGTACCGTGCAGAAATGTTCCCATTCTATTTTATGGGATGTGCGTGGCAGTTATGCAAGTGAGAGTCCATATGGATTGTTGCAGGGATATCAGTAATCATGCAGTACTCCTGTTATCTGCACAGGGAGTAAATTGTTAAGTTCTGATTTGATAACTTGTCCTTATTCAACAAGCACTTAGCATTAATGGAACCTAAACGTGCTCTCAAGTGCTCTGCCCGGTTGACTCAGATTGTATTGGTGCTTTATTGAACTGCAGCTTGCGTAGAGATTGCTGTTGGATGCTGTCTGCAGTTGACCAATATATTGTTTTCAGTGATGAAACGTGCTGTTGGGCAATGCCCTGGAGTCTGGTTTGACACTGTTTCTGCCATTGGTTTGGGTGTGTTGTAGGTGTTATGTGTGAGAGCCAGATCGGCTTCCTGATCCACTTCACTCTGAAGGTCTACTTAGTTTTTAACTGGCCACCAGTGCTGCTCTGTGAGCAGTGTGGGCACGAGAGCAAACTGAAGGGATGGAGAGGTAAAAGTGCCTCTGAAATATCACAGGTGTGTGTTGCTGCTCAATGTATCATCAAGCTGTAGTCTAAGCAGCTGTATTTTCAGGGTATACTTTTCAAAGACAGCTTCTATTTTCTAACTGTAGGTGTCTGTATGTATTAACATGTTTGAACATAGTTGTGGAAGCTGGAGTTAATAACGGACTGATTTCAATCAAAATCCCTCAGGGAACAGTGGAGTGCTGTGATTTCAGATTTAAGCTCTGAGAGGTCAGAAAATACTGTGGTTTACGATGAACATAAGACCTTGACTTGTTCTCCGGCAAATACATTTGACAATGTGGTCTGTACAAGAGTGATAAAAAGGTGTGTGAAAAGCAAGTATTAAGTACGTCTGAGTTTAGTAATTTTATCCCTGCACTCACATGCAGCCGGTTGCTACTCAGTGCTTGGTGCTCAGCATGTGAATTACCTTACTTCAGCTGAGCTGCAGTCTCTTCCAGGTGAAAGAGATCAGTGGAGAAAAAATGAGAACTACTTCAATTGCACGCAGCTGCCCAAGTGGCTGCAGCAGTTGCTGGGCATGTTTGAATGTGTAAACATGTCATCCTCCTCCCCCTCCCCCCCACCCCCTTTAATTACCGTGCTGCCCTGGTAGTGCATGGTCCTTGAGGTCACTGCTCACTGGAGCTGCATTGCAGTTTCCTTCTTCCTTTTCCTGCTGGAGATGCCTCGCTTTTGCTGCTGGAGGAGACACGCTGACCTTGGTGGAAGGTGTATTTTTTTGTTGTTATTTAATTTATACCACAGGGAGATGACTTGTAGGACAGGAAGTCCCTGCTTATCCGTGCTAGCAGATCCCAGCATGGTCTGCTCCAGTGCTACTACTGTCACAAGCAACAGCAGCAGCTCCCGTCTTTGTGTTGGGCTCTGCACGTGCTTAGGAGTTGTTTGAGGGCTTCCTGTAATGCTTTGAAGCAGCGTGTGTGCACACCAGTAATAATATGTATGCTTCTGTTCAGGAACCCCTGAGTTTTTAGAGAATTTTAAAAGCTAATTTACTTTCTGGATGAGGTTTTTGAATAGCTTGTCTTATTAAATTAAAGAAGCTTCTACTTTCTTTGTTTTTACTTGTTCATTTATTTTTGTAGCTGACGTATATTAATGAAATTAACATGTTTTCTGAAAGGATATGATCTTGGTATTCTCCCTCTGGCTTTACTGAAATGGTTGCTGCAGGATGTCAAATAAGATAAATGATTCTGGATTCTTAAAAGGATGTCTAACATTGGTCCTATCTCCTCAATACATGAACAAACATTTTGCAGGCGTGTTTCTTCACTGAGTTGTGCTGTGACAGAAGTTCCCAAACTGTAGTTAGGTCACAAGAGAATGACTTGAATTTTATTTCTTGGTCTTAAACTGTGAATTAAGCTTCTGCAATTACATTAGAATGTGTTGTTAGCTGCTTGCTAAATTAAATCTCTATAAATCTGCTGTTTGTAAGCAGCAGTGCTGTGAATTATTTCAGGGGAAAAAAAAAAAAAAAGTAGATTGAAGTTTATATTTGGAAGTGGGGTAACTCCAGTATGGAAAGATACTTCCTAAAAAAAAAAAAAAAGTATACTCAGTTGGAACATCTGAGCAGAAGCTGAATCCATTGTCTGTAAAATGGCTTATAGGACTTTGTATGCTCTCTGAGGATGCATGGGAACCCTACTGATTGTGGTTAGTGATAATTAATAATAGATCAAAGATTTTTAGCCCTGAGGTTCAAAAGTAAATTTCATACTAATTGCTGAATGTTTCTGATGATTTTTGTATCATTTCACTCAATTACATTCTCCCTTCTAAACAATGCTTTTTATTTGCATCTGGAGGTGTGATGAGTTTTTTCAATGGACTTTCAGACTGAAATCAATCTCTTTTACTCTGTTTTTCTTTCTCTCTGCTTTTTTGCTGCTATCCTGAGTTTGAAAAAGTGATGGCTTTATAAAGCACTTCCCCACCAGCTGCGTGGAGCTGTATGGCTGCCATGAGGCTCCCCCTCAGCCTCCTCTCTGGGCTGAGCAAACCGACGGACCTCAGCTGTTCTTCATACAGCTTACCCTCCAGACCCTTCACCATCTTCGTAGCCCTCCTTTGGATGCTCTCTTACAGCTGTATGTCCGTGTTGCTTTGTGGCGCTCAGAACTGCGTGCGCCGCTCAAGTTGAAGCCGCAGTCCCCTGATCAGTGTGAGCAGGCAGAGCATTGCCCTGCTGATAACCCTTAGGCCGTGCCTTGCTCCCTGGTGGCAGGTTAAGCGCTGCCCTGCCTCAGCAGGCGGCTGCGTACTCCGGTGCATCCCCTAAAGCTTACGCAATCTGGCCGTGTCCGTGTACCTGCATGACTGCGTCACCCCGCTGCTTGTCCTCACCCAGACCTGTGCTCCCAGAGCCCTTGGGAAGCTCAGGTTTCACAACCCCTGTGTCCCGGTTTACTCTGGCAGCGTCTGGTTGAGGGAAATCGATTGTTTGTGTACGTGGCTCTCTGCTGGTATGGCTGCGGGTCAAGGAGTGGGGAAGGGGCTCTTGGCTTAGCTACGCTCCCTCTGTCAGCGTGGACTCTTGTCCAGAGAAAGGACGGCCTCAAGGAGGTCCTCAAACTACTGCCCTCAACTTGAGTGTTGCTTCTGGAAGCGTTGTTTTGGGGGTGGTCCATTGGGATGAGGGGTGTGAGTTCAGGCGTTTGCTCCAGAAGACCAAAGGTGCCACATTGAGCGCCGCAGAGGGCTGGTCTCCAGGAAACTGTCGTGCACTTCAGGAGTTCTGAAGCCTGTAGTTCCAAGGACTTTGCATACGAAGGCTGGGGGGAAACTTGGAATGCTTCCAGTAAGGCTGTTTGACTTGTCTGCTTCGGAACAGTATATTGAAGTAAATGAAATTTGTGTACAGTAGATGAGATCGGTCAGTGAGCTGTTTGTCCAGTGCTATGTTCAGATCCTCTTCACTGGCTCTGACTTTGTTACTTTCCAAAGTTATTTGGAGAAATTAAAAAAAAAATAATAATCCTAAAGTACCAAGACTTACATAGCTGTTCATCCTAGGATGTGTGAAAACTTTCAGAAAAAAAGTCCCATTTGAAGACAACAAATATAACCTTATGTTTGCCGTGCTTAAAGATCAAGGTCTTTTTTTTTTTTTTTTTTTTTTAATTCTGAATAGAAAATAAACACACGTCACCAGTCCTGGCCCATTGGGCTGGGAATGTGTGCTTCTGGGTCAGTACAGGTGTCTCTTTCTGTAGCTGGCAGAAGACAGTGTCCTAGAGCTTGGCATGGCCCTATGTTACGTGTGAGAAAGTTTTGGCAGCACATCTGCCCTCTGAAGCTGCCCGTATGGATGCAAGGGTACCAGAGCACATGGAGGGTGCCCCTGGTGCTATGAGGATCATCCTTTGGTTGTTGAGGACTGCTTCTTTGTTGCTTGCCTGTCTGCTTGGCTTTAGGGTTGAGGAAGCTTTATGGCGTGTTTTGCTTTTCTGCTTTTGCTTTGTTTATCTCTAGGCACTAATTCTTTCTTAAGTTAATAATTAAAAGCAAATATTGGCCAATAAGTGTTCCTTAAGGGTTGTATGAAGTTACTAAAAGTTACTAGATTGTCAAAATTTAGCACCAAACCTTTGTAATAGTCCATCCTGTTGTAAAACTCACCGAGTAGAGCAGCGTTTCTGCAGGATGAGCTCTGCAAGCCCTATAGGAAGTTACCATACTCTTACTTCTGATTCACAGTAGGGAAATTGAATCATCTAAGTGGACTCAATTAGAATTTTCAAATTCTTATTTTAATCTGAATTCGTGTAAACTACTGGAAGATGAACGAAGTAGAGGTTAGATGTGTCAGCTTCTACTCAGTGTATGGAAGTAAATATTGGAAACGATCCAGAGCTTTATGGCTGCTGCCAACTAATGACATAAGATAATGTTGCAATGAAACAATGTACTTGATTTGCACTTGTTTCCCAACTAACCTTTATGCTTCTGGAGACTTTGGAATTTAGGTCTTTCAAGATTTTACAGTAAGAAGTAGATAAGGCATTGAAATTTTTGACTATTCTGTGGTAATGACAACTTCAAACTGCACAAGCAGATAATAAGATAAAAGACTGTTACTCATTTCTTATTAAACCCATTTGGGGGAAGAAGCAAGAAGGACGAGTGTTTTGGATGGATGTTTAATTCTAAAAAGGGAAAAAAAATTAAAGGGGCTGAATTATACATAAATATGAAGTGAAAAGGCTGAGTTGCTGATTTATTGTGTTTTTTGTCTTGCTTTCTGGGACCAAAACTGCAGCCATTGTAGGTCTGCAAATAGTTCTGTGCTCCCTTCCTAATGTAAAGAAGAGTTAATTGTGCCTTGGAGGCTGCTAACTTCTTTGCTAAGTTTGTGTTAGCATTTCTACTTGCATCAGTACTGTGCTTTTGGAGTGAGTCTTCCCGCTGCCTCTGTGTACTGTGGGGGGTGGCTGTGGAGTGAAAAAGGAGATGCTTCTTAGAAAGCAGCGCATGACAGAAGTGCTTTAGGAGTACCTACTGTTCCTACAGTACTCCAGCTTCTAATGGCTTTGGTCCATGGGACCTCTTTGGAGCTGCCCTGAGGCCCAGCCCCTGGAACACGAGTAGTGTGGGTGGAGGGTCTCCAGCCCCAGCCATCCCTCTCCCTACATCTCTGCATTGCACTGTACTGCCTGCTATGCCAGTGCTGGCAGTGTGTTTATTGCGGTTTTCAGCTGTTAGCTCAAGCATTTGTAATTGAAAAAAGGAAAAAGAAAAAAAAAAAGAGAATTACAGGCAGAAGAAATGATTCCTGAGAAGAACTGGAGGCATGACTTTGTGCACACGTATTCGTGTTTATAAGCTATATCTAGAATTACCAGAGTACCTACTTACTCTTCCTTCACAGCACTCCTGAATTCTTGAAAACGAACGAATGAAACCCTGAAAGCAGGAAATGAGACTGAAGTGACAAATAGGCTGTATCCTGTTTTTTTTTTTTTTTTTTTGTTAATGAACTTCACTTCTTTTGAACTAGTTGGAAAATCTAGATAAGGTTTGCAAATATTCTCATTTATAGTAATACTAATCTGTGAAGAAAAATGGGATTGTTTTGTATTGCAGGCAGCTTAAAGAAATATTTCCAAAGCTGTAACTTTTGTGAACTAATTTAATGACTTAGAATTATGGTGTCAGGAGAAATACATTTTTGTAAAGCAAATCTGTTGCTTTACAGCTAATTATGTGTTGCAGATACCTCATGCATTGATTTTTAATATGATGCTAACCGAGTCAGATAGGTGATATATTAATGGCTTGTAAATGACCTACAGCCATTAACTCTATTTAAGAAGACAGACATTAGAAAAAAAGTGTTTTAAGCCTTAATCTGTGTTTTTCAGTGACCCAATACTATAACTCCAGGGCCTAGATGAGTTCTGAGCTAATTCACTGACTACTAAGTGGATCTTCCTTCTCTGTTTTTTTTTCTTTTCTTATTTTCATACTTTTTACTGTGACCAATTCCTTCATGTCCTTCAGTGCTGATCCCTGTCTTCCATCCTCTGGTCTTAGTCCTTTCCATGATCTAAAGATATTTCAGGTTCTAATTGCTTCAGTACATACACCTGCTGTTATGCTTATTATAAGAAACTCCTAATAAGGCCACTAAGGTGGTGAGATGGAGTTGGTGGGTGTTCCTGGAGACTTCTCCACACCAGCCCTCTCAGTCTCTGTCCCCT